ACGCATGTCCTCAGTCTCCCCTCCCCTCAGTGATCAGCCGGCTGCAGGCAGGAAGAAGCATTTCCTCAGGCTCCCCTCCCCTCAGTGATCAGCCTGCTGCAGGCAGGAAGATGCATGGTCCTCAGTCTCCCCTCCCCAAGTGATCATCCTGCTGCAGGCAGGAAGATGCATTTCCTCAGTCTCCTTTCCCCCTATGATCAGACTGCAACAATGTAACGTTTTAGCAAGTTGGGCTAATCTCTGTCAGACATTTGTGTACATAGCCACCGTGATTTACATAACTGTGTCATCTCTGAGCTGCCATCTCAGTCCAGGAAGTAGTATGGTGACCCTGGATGATTCCTGAACAAAGATGGCACTCCCCTTGTGGAGAGAAAAGCAGATGAAGGCATTGTCAGGGGGAGTACTGTGATCTCTCTGGGGGATAATGAACACCTAGAGGTGTTATAACTCGTGTTGACTGGCTGTCGATGGCATCAGTTGGAAATCAGTTTGAGATTCTTCTGAGATCATTCAGGAGTTACGGGTGCAGTTGACCTCCTTCTAACCTGCATTTGAATTGGTATGCAAAACCCGCTTGAAGGAAACCAAAGTCGGTTGACACAGCACCTTACACTGACACATTACTTATCATACATTCACATAACATGAAGGTATTTGATGCTAGGTCCGCTTTAAAGGAGAACTATGAGATGAGTGATTTCCACTCACCTCATAGTTCTAGCCGACCTGTGACAATGAGACTGTTACAGGTCGGCTCAGTAGATCGGAAGGTGAGCGAACATATACCGGCGTTCGCTCACCTCTCGATCCTGTCACGGCTCTCTGCCGTGACAGGGGAGGGGTTGGATTGCCCCCTCCCCGGTCCGATCCGCCAGCGCTGACTGGCGGAACGGACGGGGGAGGGGCGGGTACAGCTGGCTCTGCCTCTAGATAGGCAGAGCCGGCTGTCACTCACGCAGCTGGGCGGATCCCGGCACAATTGTCGGGATCCGCTTCAGCTGCAGCGTCTCAGTATACCGCGAGCTACAGCTCGCGGTATACTGAGCCTAGGGTGACGGGAGGACGCTAGTTTGTGTCCTCCCGTTACCCTAAGGAGAACTATGGGGAAAAGCCCTAACCCCATAGTTCTCCTTTAAGGTTGAACTTGATGGACCTGTGTCTTTATTCAACCTCAAATACTATGTAACTATGTATTGTACGCATTCCCAGAAGTGGCAGTTGTGGGGTGCTCAGAGTCCCCTTTTATCATCTTGAGATGACCTAGATAGCTTGGTTTAGCCAACTTTTCACCAATTAGTCTCACCGCATTAAAAAAAAAGAGAGCGTTACAAAATCTATTCACCGAGAAAATGGATCATTTTAAAAGGAAAGAAAATAAAAAAGAACTAATATAGTTTGAATGTAACACATTAGGGCGATCAATTCAATAGAGGCAAGTTATACTAATTAGCCGCGGATAGGCTCTCCTAAACCTCCCCAGATACAATCCAACCCGACGGGAAAAAAAAACCCAAAAAGCTTCGCCATGAGGATTTTCTTTCTGCCAAATAGGTGGAAAAAAAATAATTTGTCTCTATTTCACTTAATTAATAATCCAATTAGGCCGGACGGAGGAACCAACTGAGCAGATCCAGCAAGTGAATTAATGTTGCGACGAATGATTGGGAATGAAACCAGCGGCGTCGGGCCCGCTGGGAGGAGATTCAGGGACCGGTTGACTTCTTTGGTGAGTCTGGGAAACGGCCATACGCTGCGGCCCTTCGCGTATGCAAGCGGCAGGTCCTGTGATATGTAGACGGGGAAAACATATGTGCACGTTGCCCAAGCACTTCAAAGAGAGCCGGTCACTTCACCAAGTCCGAGCAAAATGACAGGTCCTCTTGAAAGGGCGCCCTACCAACTGATACTTACCTTTTCTTTAGTCTTCCACCATCTTGTCGTCTGCAGGAGCCTTGAGTTTCATCCCTGTGTAAGCTCCGTGTATTGGAGCTTACACAGGGATATTGACCTTCCTCCCAACCCCCGTGTGACTGTTCAGGGTTGGCAATTGGCCACTCAGGTGTAGGAACCCCAACCTCGGAGGAAGACAAGCAGGTCACGTACCCAGAAGTATTAGGTATTTACAAGGGCTCCCACATGTGAATGGAGTGTTGGAGGAGCACCACATCGGATTGAGGACATTTCCCATCACTCTTCCTTGTTCCTGCATTTCTATCTTTTGCTATCAAAAGGTTCCACACCTGAACAATATACATCTTCAATCTATGTTATAGCATTCATGAGTGCTTTAATCTGAACGTGACTACGTTAGAATCTGTGACCACGTGACCGGTCACGCATTCCACCGTCGAAAAAAACACGCGTGATTACATTAGAAAGTGTGATCACGTCACCGGTTACACATTCTAACGCAGTCACAATCTGTGATAGAACAGGGGCTCTTGAGAGGAGTGCTGTGATGTTTTCAGACCCCTGCTGGCTCCTCCCACCAGCCATGCATAGAGAAGAACATAGACCCGGTGAACTTGGGACCAAAATAATGTCTGTCATGAAAATGGAAAGGTTTCATTTACAGATTTCATTAGCATGTTAATGAGGACGGGGGGGGGGGACCAGGGAAGGCAAAATATAAGTAGCTTAAACTTCAACTTTATGTCCTTTAAGGTTAAAGGCTCCTAAAACAAAGCAAAGGCAGCAGAACCGCTCTTCATAAACGTTAAAGCATAAACTTTAATTAAATTGCATTAAATTCTCTACGGTCCCCTCGGGAGTTTAATGGGAGTTCATAAAAATGTATGCACAAAGTGCATAGTGAGCTCCAGGGATCCCCACTTTACATTATTTTGGGAAGATGCTGCAATCTATCTGCGCGTTATACGGAAAGTAAAATGTGCCAGCTGTAGAGTTAACGGAATAAAACTCTGCAAGTATTATCATCCTAAAAGAGATCGTCAGGGGATGGAAAAAAATGCTGCCGCACTTATCTAATGCAAGCTTTACTTCCTGTGCATGAGTGTAAGATGGAACGTTCAGTCATTTTAATAAATCCCTGACAGGTCCCAATATACAGCAACGGGATCATTTTTTAGAAAAGTTTCACCTTTTATCATTAAAAAGCCATTTTTGAGCTCGAATGCAGAGACTTTGCCTAGGCTGAGATAATGTCATCAATCTGTTGCAGGCAGGAGGAAGCATTTCCTCAGTCTCCCCTACCCCAGTGATCAGACTGCAACATTGTAACTTTGTAGCAAGCGCAGCCCTTTCATCCTAAGTGGAGCGGCTCTTTAAATTTAGAGATGCCAGCACCGGGGCCGGTGCTAGGATTCTTGCCTACATAGGCAAGGTGCATGTTTGTACTTGTCAAAATGCCCTGTTTTTTCCGCCCTCACCCTGCAGCGCCCTCAGGCGGCCGCCTGACTTGCCTTGCGGTAGCGCCGGGCCTGGCGAGCACTATAATCAATCTGGATGATTTGTAGTCTGGTATCATTTACTTAGTTCTAGGTGTTCTGCTATTGTCTGCACCTACCTGTGTTTGGTTGTGACCCTGCCACAGAGTGGGGCTAGCAAATTGGGCTTATGCCTCACCAGCAAATCACTAAGGGGGTTATTCACAAAGGAGCCGCAGGATCCAGCCGTAGCTTTGGCTAATCCTTCGGCTCTCTTCGGCCACCGGAGCCCTTTGGTTCAGTCAAACCCAAGGGCTGCTGTACGGGCTATTCACCATAGCCCTACAGCGGCCGAGCGGCTCAGCCGAGCCGAAGGCCTATGCTTCGGCTCGACTGAGCTTTTGTTTTTTATTTTATAATTATTTTTTAATTTAATATTTATTTACAATATTTTTTCAACTTTTTTCACTATGTGCTATTCTACTCGGTACCACAGAGGTACCGAGCAGAATAGCTGAGCCAAATGCCGCTCGGCGGCATGCGGCTAGTCACTCACTGCTGTTCGGCCCCTATGTGCATGTGAGCTGCCGGAGTTTCGGCTTAGCCGATCCAGATGTTGGATTGGCTGAGTCAAAGTCCTTCTGCACTTTGGCTCAGCCGAACATGACTGAAGTGCAGCTGAAGGCAACCGATGTACGGTTGATTTCAGCCGATGTACGGCTGAAATCAGCCGTACTGAGCCGTAGTAAATAGCAGAACGTTGTTAGGCTCACTTCACTACGGTTCAGTTATTCACTCGGCTGCCTTCGGCAGCTTTGTGAATGACCCCCTAAGAGTTTTATGGCCAGTGGTGCATGCTGGGGAAGTACATAAATACTCAGGAATTGCCGTGTGCTCAGGGCAGTCTGCCCCTAGGCCTAGCCTGGGGTGGGATGTACATGGCTGAAGAAACTGACTAGGCCTCAAGCCTGCAGGAGGCCAGATGTGGACCCAGGAGGGGTCTGGAAAGGAGAACCAGAGGGGTTGTTTATCTGCTGGAGGTGCCAGGAATGCCAGGATGGCATGGACCTCAGGAACAAGCCTGGTGCCTCTCCCAGGGAAGATCTCAAATACATCCTCTATTCATCTGTTGCTCTGTTACCCAGTGTCATCTTCCGCTCAACTAAACTATTCCTGCTCTGTGAAAGTGGGAAGGGATTGGTGAATCTGGAGTCTATTTTTCCCATGGATGTCTGTAGCCCTATACCCTCCCACACAGTTTGGCTATTCTACAATAAAGCATTGAAAAAAGTACTTAAAGTGACTGGCACCCAATTTACTGTTCATATCCCACAACTCAGATGAAGGCATTGCCATGGGGAGCACTGTAAGTAATACATACCTGGAAGTGTTACACTGACACATTACTTTGCATGCATGCAAACAAAAATTGTATTACTAATGAGTTTTCTTGAATGAGACCCAAAAGAAGCTCTGGTTGGTTATTCAAAATGATATCTTTGTAGCTGTAGGAGCTGCAAATAAGTAGAAAAGGACGGCAATGTGTTCATAGGAATGTGCGTACAGTATGTGACTTCACTAACCAGCTTTCCCTTCTTGCTTCCCCTACAGGAGGACTCTGCATCGCCCAGTCCCTGAAAATCCCCAACGACCGTAAAGCCAGCGATTATGACAAGCTAGTCCGACAACTGCTGGAGACGCCCCAGGCTCGGGGCGTGGTGGTCTTTGCTGTGGATGACAATGACATCAGGTAATGGACATATAGTGGCAACATCGCCAATGTTAATTCCTGGGTAGGGTGTCATTCTAATCCTGACCTCACCACTCAGTAAGCCACTGGCCCAAGATAAGTGATCAGGTCAGAAGTCTCAATTTCGCTGGCTACATGCCTATTCCAGGTCATGGATTTGTAGAGATGCCAGGACCAAGATGACAGCTTTGGACAGCTTGCACCTTTAAAACAATGTCAGCATCCATATGTCACTTTAAACTAGAACTAAAGCACAAACTTTGTTTTATTGGTTTTGGGTAGAGCGTCTAATGGTTACCACTCCTGAAAATCAATTGCTAGTACGTTGCGCTAGGTAATAATGAAATCAATAAGAAACAACTCTACTTCTCCTGTCCATGTCCCATTGGGGAGATTTCCCTAAACTTCCTGAACAGGAAAAATACAGAAAGTGAGGAAATCCAATCCAAAGTGAGAGAAAGACCCCTATTAATAGGCTGCCACAAGGATAAGTGTCCTCATTGGAAGGTTTCTTATTTATTCTGTGAAACTTTGGATCTCTCATGGCTCTCTTTTCCATTGATGATGGTCACCAGGACAAACAGAGAGGGAGAATATTCCCTGAAGGGACATAGATACCAATAAAAACCTGACAGGGGTTCGTTCTAACCTTCCACAAAACTGAAATAAAAGTTTTGGCATGAGATAAGCATTAAAACTGATATGAGGGGAAATGTCAAGCCTGCCCTTGTAGTGGGGCTGCCCTCACGGTGCAAGGTTTCAATTCTCATTTTTGACTAGGGGGACATTTTGTACCTCACACCCCCAGGCTCCTTCTCTCTGTGTGAGCGGTTCCTTGAAGCATATGCTTCTTTTTGGAGCTTCATTGGGTGGTCTCACTCTGACATCATCATGTACAATGTAGGGCTAGAAGTTCTGCATTGTAAGTGAGGACGTCGAGAGCCCATTGAAGACCCAAAGCTTTGGAGGGAAGAGGAGAGCGCTGGTGGCCACGAAGTGAGGGGTAAGGTCAGTGAAAATGGTAACTTGGACAAAAATGAGCATTTAACCCTTGAAGTAAGGGGACAGCCCCACTACTAGGGTCCTCTTGACATTTCCCTGGAGTTGCAAAACCTGCTTTAAATACACAATTTAACCAAAAGTATGTGGACCTTCCTCCAGATCATTGAGTCCAGGTGTCTCAAGAGAAGGGTACTGTTAATAATACATCGTACAAGGACATTGTAGACAACTGTCCTCTTTCAACCTTTTGGTAAAAGTTTGGTGAAGACCCTTTTCTGTTCCACCATGACTGTCCCCTGTGTACAAAGTCAGCCACATAAAGACATGGTTTGGCCAGTTGAGTGTGGAGGAACTCGAGTGCCCTGCACCTCAACCCTACTGATCACCTTTGGGATGAATTGGAATGCCAATTGTGAACTGGGTCTTCTCATCCAACATCAGTACCTGGTCTCATAAATGGGGCAAATTCCCTCAGACACCCTACAATATCTTGTGGAAAGTCTTCCCAGAAGAGTGGGGGATGTTATAGCCACTACCCAGATAGCAAGGATAAGTTGCTACAAACTTGTGGCGGGGTGAAATTGTAATTTTGTTAACTTGCTGCACACATTCCTGGCAAGTTGTAGACTTGCAGAACACTTGCAGCACAAGTTCTAGTTGACACTTTTTGAACTTGTAGCAAATTTGCTTGGCAAGTCTACAGCAAGAGTCCTGCAGGTCTTAGCAAGAGCTCTGCAAGCTCGCTGGTCTGGAGACTTGCACTGCAGACTTGCTGTAATTGTGCAACAAAATTGTGAAGCGCGGCAAGTCTGCAATAGTTTAGCAAGTCATTTTCAAACTTGCAGCTCAATTTCTTGCTATCTGGGTAAGGGAGGCGACTCCATATTAATGCCCATGGGGGGTGGGCGCAAGTTCATGTTATTATCCATGGTTCTTGTATGGGATGTCCAACAAACTCATAAGTGTGATGGTCAGGAGTCAACAAATCTTTGACCATAAAGCGTATCATCACATGGGAGCTTGGAGGGGCCGATGAGCAAATTAATTCACTTGTAAAATCCTGAAATTTTCACAAATATTCATGAATGTCTGATTCAAATCATTCCCATTTTAATTTGCTCATCTCAGTACGTCACATATGCTGATAGCAACTGGAAGGAGAATGCACATTTTTGCAGAGTAATTTAAATATGGAACAACGAAAATGGGAAAGTCCCTTCAAACCCAATTGTCAGGTAAACTTTAAAATAACTTAAAGGAGAACTATGAGGGGAGTGATTTTCACTCAACCTCATAGTTTGAGCCAACGTGTGACAATTAAACTGTCACACGTCGGCTCAGTAGATCGGGAAGTGAGAGAACACATACCGTCGCTCGCTCACTTCTCTATCATGTCCCTGCAGAGAGCTGTGACTGTCACTCACGTCTCCCTGCAGGGATTCCCCGCTCACCGCGCTGACTGGCGGGAACGGACGGGGGAGGGGTGGGTACAACTGGCCCTGCCTCTAGATAGGCCGAGCCAGCTGTCAATCACGCAGCTGGGTGGATCTCAACAGTAATGTCGGGATCCGTCCCGGCTGCGTCGGTCTCAGTATACTGCGAGCTGTAGCTCGCGATACACTGAAGTTTGGATCACGGGAGGAGGTTAGTTTATGTCCTCCCGTGATCCTTAGGAGAGCTATAGGGAAAAACACTTACCTCATAGTTCCCCTTTAAACTTCCAAATACACTACAGATGTCCTTTTACGCAGCGCCTTTTCCTTTAAGTCAAACTCACGTGCTGGGTCATTAGCAATCCAAAGACAGTTGCAATTAGCAGCTATTTTGTTATCTGTCTGTTCTGAGTCTCTTTGGTCTTCAATACCTTTCATCTGCTAAAACTCAACGCCGCGTATTGACTCGCCTGCTTCTAATGTCACCAGCAAATTGCAAAGAGGGAAACTTGTATGGTTGACATCTCACGTCGTGTAACAAGTTCGCCTTATACCGCGGTGCTACAAATGAGCGCTTGTCACTTCGTGAGATGTCATCAGTGACCGAACGCTTGAACGTGTACCGGCCTGCAACTAGTGGTGATCGAAGCAGAAGAGTTTACACGTTGCTGGTTTTTTTTATCCTTCTGAATATATTTGCACATGGATCTATATGATATATGGAGAATCCCATTGTTCCTAAACTGTACACAGAACAAGAAGGAAGAGGTTAATGGTGCCTGTTACTTTAAGAAAAATTACAATGTATTCATTTAACAAAAAGAATAAAAAGAAAAGAAACCCCATGCATGAACCCAGGGCCGGTGCTAGACTATTTTGCACCCAAGGCAAGAGCAGCTACCTCCCCCCAAGTGGCTCATTTGTCCTGCCAGCTACCTTCCACAGGCCATAGATGGATGTAAGCAGCCGGGACAATAGCCAGACTTCTATTGGCTATTTTGATTTGAAATGGCCAATAGCAGACTGGCTATTGAAACACCAGCAGCTGAGCAGAGTAGCGGACCTGAGAGAGAAAGTTGTCTCTTTGTATCGCTCCTCTGCTCAGTGGGCAGGTGCAGTAGCCACTCTGCTATTGGCTTTTGCAATTTGAAATGGGGGGGGGGGGGGGTCAA